TTGGTTGACGCAACTACTGCACTCGAATCCCCATTTTCCTACTACTACTACGCATTTGCACAAAACGTATTCGAAATAGTGAAACTCATATTTTGATATTTTCGAAGATTGAATACTGGTGAAAATTGTTTTAATGAATTGATTGTTTTAATGAATTGTTCGATTTTCATGTTGGTCATATAAGAATATTTTTGAAAAGTCAATAATTCAAGTGGATTTTAAATCAATTTAAAAATACTTTAAATTTCATGTCCAGGTGTCGCTGTATTGGGTGTGCTTTTGAAGCGATTCTGACATAAGAAAGTACACAACTTGCTATAACTAAATCGAAAAAAATGTTTTAAAAGTAAACAAAAATTCTAGAAAAATTTGATCGATTAAAAATGTCCGTATTTTCAGCTTGAATTTCGTTTATTTGTATGCGGTTCACATAACAGTCGACCCAACCCGAAACACATACGAAATTACGTACACCACCGATGACAGCTACGCATGTGAACGGTAGCGGTTGAATGGTGTATGACATCGCAAACGTAAACGTCAAACGTTCCTTTTCTTTCTCTTTCCGGTAGGTGCCGAATAACGTGTAAGTGCTCTGTGAATTGATGAAATTTAATTGAAAATCATCAATAGAAAAATGAAGTGATTTATATCGAAATTATGTTAAATTATGTGCAGGAATCTTTCAGCAATGCATTGATATAAATATATTTTGGTGATTTTGGAATTTTTGTTGAAAAATATTCATTTTTCGAGTGATTGTGATTTGACAGCTATCATATACACAAAACATAGGGACCGTACGAATTTATACTGTAGAGATAACCTGAAATTGTTGCAAGATTCAATCACATTTCGCATAAATCAACTTTTTCGTCTGTGCAAAGTTTGAATGTTTCAATATAATTTCCTTGTTTCTGTTTGTAGGCAAAATGAGAACCATCAACTCAAATCAATGTGTTAAAATCCCACGGGGCATTGTAGCCTCCGTTAAGTCACGTATTGTGACAATCAAAGGCCCGCGTGGTATTCTGAAGCGCAACTTCAAACACTTGGCATTGGACATCCAAATGGTTTCACCACGTACATTGAAGGTCGAAAAATGGTTTGGAACCAAAAAAGAATTGGCTGCCGTTCGCACCGTGTGCTCGCACATCCAAAACATGATTAAAGGTAAATTGAAATTCGAAACCGAAAATTGAATTATCAAAGTATTCAGTGTGTTTACAGCATTTTATTTGCTAATGTTGTGCTTGGTTGTGTCCCAAAATAATACTAAAACAAATGACTTTGTTCACCTTATTGTCGTGTTTTGTTTGCAATACAAAGTGTGAAACTAACCTCTTATTTGTTTTTTTTTTTTGTCTTCGATTATACAGGTGTTACATATGGATTCCAATACAAAATGCGTGCTGTATACGCGCATTTCCCCATCAACTGCGTTACATCCCAAAACAACACAGTGATTGAAATCCGTAATTTCTTGGGCGAAAAATACATTCGTCGCGTCGAAATGGCACCAGGCGTCACCGTTGTTAACTCAACAAAACAAAAGGATGAATTGATCATTGAAGGCAATGACATCGAAGCTGTTTCTGGTTCGGCTGCGCTCATCCAACAATCGACAACCGTCAAAAATAAGGATATTCGTAAATTCTTGGACGGTTTGTATGTGTCAGAAAAAACTACCGTTGTTCAAAAGGAATAAATTTTCAGTTAATTCTCAATAAACTATAATCTACATTGGATTTAACGAAAACACAGAGAGCATGTTGTTTTTTTCTTCTACGAATTAAAAAAAATTAGTTGCATTCAAAGTGAATTCTGGTTTTACTCATAAGTGATTTAACGGTCTCATGTTGTGTGAATTTAATTTGGGTCATTTGGAAACGGACTCTTTTGAATCATATTAAATTGAATGTTCTTTTTTCTTTTATTCTCGGAATAAGGTGAGTATTTTTCAGTCGTTAGAAGTTTGGAATTCAATGACATGTGAAATACGGTAAAATATTTGGTGGACTACTTTAGGCATTTAGCACTCTCGTGTATCTATTTGTATTCATTTTCAAAAGATTGTATCAAATATTTTTATTTATAGTTAATTTCGTTAGTTTCACAAATGATGGACTGGAACTGTTGCTGACACTCAAGCCGACTATTAAAAAAATGCGCCGAATTAACATCGAAGGCAATTCAAATTATTGTGCGCTGTTCGCCAAATCTTGGAGAGCCATTTGAAATATTGGAGCGGAAAATTTGTTCCCATTGAAAATATTTGGTACTGCCAACATCGTGCTCGTGACTGAAACAAATCAATCGTATTTTTAAAGACGCGCATTCCTCGTGGAAAATTTATCATCTATAACCGAATTTCGATTAACTCATTCAAATCAAGTGACACATGATGCACTGAAACATTTCTTATTTCACTCAAAAGATCTGTTACTGTTGCTTTTTGAGTATCCTAAAATAAATTTTCACTACTAATAAATAGTATTCAAAAGATCAGTATGCCGGTTTCACATTTGAACATTACATGGATTTTGAATGAGACAGTTTCTTGTCAAATATGCACACATACAAAAATCATTTTACGCACTTATAATCAAAATGTCAAAAATGTGGAATGTGACATATTGATCATATTTCTTTGTCATAGAAGTTGTGTGTGTCGTGGAGTAAACAACAGTGATTTTTACAATGATGAAAGATCTTGTTAAAAACACTGAATAACCTAAAAATAATTGGAACTACCCAAATATACCACCAAATCTACAAAAAAAAATTATTTAAATATGGGAGATCAAAAACCAAAACAATTTTGAAATCATCATAGTTGCAATTTGATTTTCGTTTTGTGATTTCGATTGATAGTCATTTTGTAAAGGAATTTTGAATTCCAATTCAAATTGAACGGATTTCGTGAGACCTTTATTCTTCGTTATTCACGGTAAGTACAAAGGTCATAAAGTGATCTCATCAATATGAATGTTGATTCGACAATCGTTGAACTGATTTCAACACACATTTTTATATCTACTCACATGATAAGATTGCACATGGTAAAAAAAGTGCTTATCTCTTTACACAGATTTGAGATCATCTTCATTTGAAAATGGCCGAGCGCATGGAGACGGATGATTTGAATTTGATGAGCATTTCAGACGAAATATTTCCCAAAATCTTTCAGCATTTGAACGATACCGATTTGTTGACCGCTACAAGAGTTTGTAAGCGCTTCAGGGTCATTGCAATTGAAGCATTTACCACAAAGTATAATGGAGAAAATGACGATAAATATTACAGCGTGATTGTTTATACTGACGACGCGACTCAAGAGCCGAAACCATATTGGCCATTTTTCAACACTTTCGGTCACAGAATGACATCATTGAAACTAAATTTACATGTTGATTTTATGAATTGCTCCGTAATCGTTCGAAATCATTGGCTAATCCATACGATTGAGCAAAAGTGTAATTCTTTAAGAAAATTGAAAGTAACACTGAACGGTGAAGAGGCACCAATTAGTGTGACGGGGCTGATTCCAATTTTTTCTAAACTCACACAATTGTCGTTGCATAAGCTTCGAATGAAAAATTCAAAATGGGCTTTAAATGTATATCCGTCACTTACACGTTTCCATGCGGTTAAAGTTAAAGGATTTCTTCCATCGGATCTGGATACGCTTATCAAAAATCATCCACAACTTCAGCACTTGGCAATCGTGCGCTGCGATAAAATTGGGCTTAAAGTATTGGAAAAAATGCAAAACACCGCGACCGAACTCCGTGCTCTTGACCTCATCACATTCGACGGCAGTTTTACAAGTGAACTGGAAGCAATTAAAATGAGGAAATTGGAGTCATTAAAAATTTCCCTCGGACATGGTACTATCGTAAGTATTCTTACAGCTATTTCAAAAGGATGTGAAAATCTACGAAATTTGGAAGTCATGCCAGTGAAAATGGACTACAAATGCGAAATACGTGGCGATATTATAGATGTCATTTGCTCATTCAAGCAACTTCGAAGAGTTGATGTGAGTGCCAAGATAATAATTCCCCATCTTTTTTTGTCAAAAAGTAATATTTGTATATGTATATATTTTTTTTTATTTAGATTTTTGGTCGTCGAATGGAAATGAAACTTCTCAAAATTCTTGTCCGTCGTCTTTCCAATTTGGTGGCGATACGAATTCAAAATGCAGACGAACAGTTTGATTTGACCGATGAACATATTCTGAAGCTATTTACCTTGGGCCAAAATCTACGCGATGTAACAATTCATGTGCATACAACGGGGTATACTTACTTTAAAAATTACTATTCCATTATTGAAGAATGCTATCCATTCTTTCGATTATTCTTCCATTACATCCGAGTATCACTTACAGTCGGCTTTCAATGCGACTCGATTTAAGAAGCGCCATCTCTTTCACGCCAGGTTCTCATATATTTTTTTCTTGCAAATAAAATTGCAAAATTGTATAAATTGAATAAGTTTTGCAATAATATTAACGAAAATAACTAATGGAATTTATAATAAATAAAAAAATTGAAAAAACACACAAATATTTTATATTATATGATTCACCAGAATAGCTTCACTTCGTGTTGTTTACGTTGTTTCTTTTGACAGATATCAATGTTTGACAAATACATATTTTCTCCACGTAACCATCTCTACATGGTCTACAAGTCAAAGCTACATATCATATAATATAAAATATTTGTGTGTTTTTTTCAATTTTTTTTATTTATTATAAATTCTATTAATTATTTTCGTTATTATTATTGCAAAACTTATTCAATTTATACAATTTTGCAATTTTATTTGCAAGAAAAAAATATATGAGAACCTGGCGTGAAAGAGATGGCGCTTCTTAAATTGAGTCGCGTTCAAATACATTGTCAATATACAACGCAAGTGATACTCGATTACATCCATTACATCCATTTCATAAAATCACAATATCGAAATCTATTTAGTATGCAAGAAAGTAGTAAGGGGTTGATCACACATATACACACAAAAATTAAAAACAATTTGCAAATGAATTGAACGAAGCTGCGTTAGCAAACACTTTGCTGACAAAAATTGAGATTTGGTAGTAGTAGTGGTAGTAGTGAGATGATAAGCAGAGCAGAGCAACGAAGGAATCATCGTTGGATACACACTATCGCATTGACGTTGCATCGACAACATGGTTCAGCACACGAACAACAGAGATAGACAGTGAAAGATAGGGAGAGACTACTTAGCACATTGTGTTTGCAGTGTTGTTGCAAATGTATGACGATTACTTTGCTCTTAAACTGTACATATTTGATTTTCATTATATGTTTCCATTACTTCCATTACGTTCCATTACATATTGATTAATTTCCATTTTTTTCATTCTTTTCTTTGTGATTAACCCTAGGCATACGAACGGAGTGATTAAAAGTTTATCGTTCGACTTGAATTTCTTCAATCGATTTGTTGATGCTGTCAAAAACCGTCGCACAGCTAAATTTACATTTGATCAGTATGAAAAGATAGTTGTAACCAAAGAGAAAATCACAAAAGATGGTCAACTTGTGCATTGGATTGGATTTGATTCGGATCGCAACTGTTCGATATTAAATCTAACCAATAAATGTTTTCAGAAAATATTTTCCTTTCTAAATGGCGAAAGTCATCGTGCACTATACGAAACTTGTACTCGACTACGAAAGGAGGTGCGAGAGAAAATTTCACAACAACTCTTCCAAATCGATATGAATAATTTGCCGCTGGCGGAAGGTGTTCTCCAACGTTTCAGCGACGACATTAAGCGAGCCTCGATTTTGGCTCCATCCTCACCAAGAGACAAACGTAAGCAATTTTGGAACGCTTTGATGGCAAAATGTGGAAAACAGCTGATCGAATTGCATGTGCAAAAAATGCAGGCGTGTTTAATGAAAGGATACAGTCTTTCGTTTCCGAATTTAGTAAAATTGGTGCTAGAGGACATTCAGTCGGTTGACTATAATGTATTTACGATGTTCAACTGTCCAAAACTTACACATTTGGAAATGTGCGAACACTACATAGAGAATCCTTTTATATCCAACGAGCAATTGAGCGAAGTTGATATCTTCAACAATCTACGTTCGATCAAACTGGATCGTGTGGATGATTGTATGGAGCATGTGTTTAATGGCATGAACGAAGTGGCCTGTGGTCGGGTCAAAGAATTTACGGTTGGAGGATACGAGGATCGAAGCAAATCTGATGATTTAATGCATATGATGCTGATCAATGTGATTTCGAGATTTCGTAATTTAACCACATTGAATTTGATCGTTGCTTATATGGAGAACATGAATATTAAGCATCTATTCGAAAACTGTACGAAAATTGTGAAACTTTCCGTCGCATTTGAATCCGACTTTGATTTTTCCAATGCACAACGAATGTTCGAATGTGTTCGGAAAAATTGCAAGCAAATTGCTGTTATTCAATTGATCCAGAGGGCATTCATAACGGATTCCGATGATGGCATTGAATTTGATAATGATAAACAATTTGACGAGAAATTCTTGAAAATGGTGTACGATTGCTTTCCAAATGCTGTCATAAGTATTGTTTTCGTTGGCTATGACGGAGAGTGCCTCAAAGAAAGACGCATCACCAATAACTGGATTAATACGACTAAAAGGCCGCTTTAATATTATTATTGATTTATGTTCTCCTTAAAATAAAACACTCTTAGTTTTTATTTGATTGATTTCTTTTGCATTTTATGTTATGTAACTTTTAAGAAAGAACGTGAAGGCTTTTTGCTTCTTTTGACACCATGTGTAAGACATATGAATGGTTAAGAATAATAATGAAACTTAATTTTGGTTCAAACTGGAGTGTCCCGCAGAATTATTTCAAATGAAAGTGTCCCGAATATTTGTTTCAAACTAAAATGTCCCTACAAAAAAGATTCATGTAAATTTTCCTAAGCGCCATTTTCATTTGCAATAAATCTGAAGGACACTTCGATTGTAATTTTTTTTTGAGTCCTATTCATAGAAATTTTTTCGGGGGACAGTTTGAGAAAGAGTTTTTTTTTGGACATTTCAATCATAATTTTATGTACTATATGTATGAGAACTGAGAAAAAATCTGTTCAATAGGTATCACATAGCAAGTTTATATGAAACTCTCGGAGACTCGGTATAGAGCACTCAAACATTGAAAAAAGTCCAGATCGTGATTTAGATGATATGGAATGCGATTTTTTTCATTCTGATTTCACCAGGTGAAACAGAAAATGTGATAATATTTGTAAATCGAAGAAAAAAAAATTTAATTATTTTTTTCATTTTTCGCAATTTTTCATCATCTATTACATGGCAACTTTATATGAAACTCTCGGAGACTCGGTATAGAGCACAAAAAGTGAAAAAAAAAACAAATTTTTTTTTCTCAATTCTCGAACACAGCTAAGTCGTCTATATCATGTGTTGTGAACAGAACGTAAAGATTTGTCATCTCTGTCCCCCAAATCGTGCTTGGCAAATCTTTTTTTCATGCTGTCTCGCTCACCCTTGCATTCACACTTGTTTACAATCGACATTCTACTAACACACAACTCACACTTGTATTTTGCTGTGCAAAATTGCAAATGGCGCGTATTAACTTCGGCATCTTAATAGATAATAAACATACTACTACTCGCTATTAACATCGATCTTAATACTACTACTCATGTTATTATGTGTAGTATGATTGGTTGTTAATAGTTAATAGCATCCTAATAAAATATTATCATAATACAAAATGTATTAACATATCGGATTTGGCACATCTATAATTCAACTACAATTGTTTAAAACTCATTTAATTAAACTACTTCTCTCATCAGAACCACAGAATGAAATAAATTGATTTTTGAAGATTCCAGCACTTTTTTATAAGTCTGGCGCAAAACGAGTTCGAGTGACTTTAAGAATTCAACTAGCCGGCCTCCGCTCGCTTCGCTCGCTACGGCACGCTCGCTCCGCTCGCTCGGCTAGGCATGTTATTATAATTCCTATCTCTGAAATTACTATCTCTATAGATTTTGACTTTATTAAATTTTGTTTATTCAATATTAATATCAATTTTAAGGCATAGACCATGTTGTCCCACCTCAATAACCGTGTTAAATCGTGTTAGACCATGATGTACCATGTTGTCCGACCTCAATAACCATGTTAAATGTTGTTAGACCATGATTACCATGTTGTCCGACCTCAATAACCATGTTAAATGTTGTTAGACCATGATGTTCCAACCTCATTTACCGTGTTAAATCGTGTTAGACCATGATTTACCATGTTGTCCCACCTCAATAAATGTTGTTGGGCCATATAGTTTTGCACGTAATAAAAAATTATTATGATAAGTTAATAATAATAAGATTTCCCATCAATATCGTTATTAGGATCGGATCCTAATAACGTTATTATGATTTTATTAACTTATCATGATAAAATCATAATAATGTTATTAGGATTACATCCTAATACTTATTATGTTACTTGCTCCGCTCGCTCGGCTAGACATGTTATTATAATTCCTATCTCTCTATAGATTTTAACTTTATTAAATTTTGTTCATTCAATATTCACTTCAATTTTAAGTCATGGACCATGATAGACTGTGTTAAATCGTGATAGACCATGATGACCATCATGACTGACCCCATTTACCGTGGTAAATGGTGTTAGACCATGATGGACCATCATGACTGACATTATTTATCGTGTTAAATCGTGTTAGACCATGATGTACCATCATGTCCGACCTCAATAACCGTGTTAAATGTTGTTAGTCCATGATGGACCATCATGTCCGACCTTAATAACCGTGTTAAATGATGTTAGACAATAATGTACCATCATGTCCGACCTCAATAACCATGTTAAATGGTGTTAGGTCATGATGGACCATGGTGCCCGACCTCAATAACCGTGTTAAATGATGTTAGATCATGATGTACCATTATGACTGACCTTATTTATCGTGTTAAATCGTGTTGGACCATGATGGCTGTTAAACCAACTTCAAAAGTACCTCTCCCGCATAATTTTGGGCCGAGGAATCCGAATTTGATCATGAAATTTACAAATTTTGACATACCCCATACAAATATTAAAAAAATAAAAATCGACCGTGATGGAGTAGTCCAATTTGGTCCAAAACCTCATGGTGACCTAGATCTCGGTCCAAAGTATAAGTGTGCAAAGTTTGGTTCAGATCGGTTGAAAATTGTGGGAGGAGTTAAGGACAAAAGAATGGCATTTCGTTTTTATAATATAGATATCTGCACATTATTATAAAACTTGTTTTTGCATACGTTTCTTAATTAAAATACAAAAAAACTAAATGACTTGTTTTTTCTTTATATTTTGACCGTGTTTTAGGAGCTGTTGTTCAAAACTAACGGTATTGCATTTGGATTTTCAATAATCTTGACCGTGGATCTTGACCTATCCAAATAAACTGAACTTAAAAAGAATATCAGACTTTTAAGCCATTCACAATGTGATAATGCAGTTTTGTTTTGTGAACTCTTCAAAATCTTTCGTTGCAATCAATGCTCACAGAAGACGTCAGTTGTAATATTTGTGAACTCTGGTAGTAATTTACTAAATTACCACCATTACAATGTGCGGCATGGTGATTTTTGTATGTATTGTATTTGCTTTGCTGTGACAGCGCTGTACAGTATTACCACCAACACTGCGTTGAGCGATAGTAATATTGCTCGGCAAAGCACATACAATACATACAAAAATCACCATGCCACACATTGTAATGGTGGTAATTTAGTAAATCACCACCAGAGTTCGCAAATATTACAATTGACGTCTTCTGTGAGTGGTTTTATTCGAAATCAGACGTAACGTTAGGAAGTGTTAAAAAAGCTTCAATCTCTTTGACTTTTAAATTACGGTACAATCCCCTCGTCATCTCTCTTCATTCTCTTTGAATCACCGAATCACCTTCTGATTGAGCTAGTATTTCATTTCGATGATTAAGTTGAACTGAAATCATAAATCATTGGAAGAGATTACATACATATAGATTATAGAAGTGTTAATCTAAGAGACTAAGAATTATGAAAAAAAAACACCAGAGTTCACATTTTTATCAAACGAATCCTGGCTCATTTCATCTTTAGAAAATTTAACCCAATACGGGTGATTCCCTGGTGAAAATATGGGAAAACGAATCGCTTTTCCATTGAATTTTTCACCATTGTCCATTGCATACCTAAAATTCATATTAATGCTATACAAACAAGATTAATGCTATACAAACAACGTTTTTCAACTTACCCATATTCAAATTCATTATTTTCACCTTGTACTTTCGTAAAATGAACATTTCTGCTCATACTTAGCCCAACAGCAATAGTTGTGCACATACAAATAAAAGCACTTAATTTTGACATTTTGCGATCGTTTTCATTCAAGTTAACTGGCGTAGAGCGATCCTATGTTGGTACTTATATATTTTAACTATGTGCAACTTTTGCAGCTCCATTGTTAATTAGTAATAATATTCAATCAAATATAAAATCTTAATGGTTTATTAGGCAATTGGTTACATTGATTAGTTACGATGTGCCAATTTGCTGTTGTGTTGCAGTTGCTTATCATCAATTTGCAAAATTTTTCCGTATTATTCTGATTTCATGTTGAATTCTAAGTAAGCCAACAAGTAAGTTACAAAATCTAAAGGAAAAATTTCAATGAAATAAAACATCGAATTTAAGAAAAAAATCTTCAAAATAATTTGATTATTATTGCAATTGGAATTTATGATAAAAAAGTAAATAATGAACAATTTTTCAGCTCTTTTAAAGATTTGAAGCAATTTCCTCTGAAGTGGTCCCTTTTGGTTGAGATGGTGGTTTACATTCTGTAATAGATTGCAACAAACGATTAAGATTTGGATTTTGTATTCAAATCTGAATTGACTTACTTAATATTTGCGTAACTTTCTTATAAATATGTTTAATTGAGGCGAGTTCCTTGTTTGTAAAATATGCTTCATATGAATAACATTCATGACGGTGCGGCAAATGAATAGTTTGAACACGTGGACTTTTATCATAAGACGTTTTACCAACAACCTGCCTTTGATTGTTTTTTGAGAAAACCCTAAATCATAAAAACCATTTTTAATATACAATTTAAATAACATCAAAGTAAAAAACGTACGTGTAATTAAAAACTTTCGCTTTCACATCGGCCAATATAAAGCTGACATTTTTTAAATCCCAACTGAAAAGAAATGAAAAATTCAAAATATAAATCCCATTTAAAATCCACCGTTTCACTTTAAAACTTACTCTGGATTGTAAGGGCCACCTGTCACGTTTCCATTGTTAAATACTTTATAATAAACAAAGTCGTCTTTTAAATCAGCTAATATGTCACGTTCGGTATGAATTTCAACTGAAATACCAAAGTTAGCAATATGATGGAACATATTTTCGATGCAATTCATATGAAAATCAATTTACCAGATCGAACCAATTTTTCGAAAGAATTTTGCTTATATAGTTCATCGTTTGAAAATTTAACCCAATAAAATGTAGCGTTTGCACCCACCAGTAGAAAAAGTCCTGGAATCCTATCGGAAAGTGGAGTGACTCTACCAGCGAATAAAGGCATTTCACCTATATTATATCTGAAGAATAGACACGTATCATATTTTATTTACGAGGACTAGTTTTTAGACGACACAATTGTTCACAACTTACTCGTAGTCAAAATCGTTAATTCCATCCTTATATCTAGTAAATTTGACAATTTTTAAATCTTCCTCACATAATGACATAGTCAAAGCTGCTAGAAAATAAACGATAACCCTTATATTGTTCATTTCAATTGGAGCAACCAATCCAATCAAAATTATCTGAAGAACTAAGTTTAAAAGAACCATTCAAATGAAAAATTGTGTAGTTTTTTTGGTGATAAAAACAGGTTAGAACAAACCAGTGATACGCGTTTAGAAAGTTTTATTTATCGTCACTACATCATCGCTGATGCCATTAATTTTTTTGATTTGGATGAGTGAGATATAAATCAATATTGACTATATATTATACGTTACTGACACATATTGATTTACAACGTAAAAAACCTTCAAATCCGAATTTTTTTCAACGCTGAAGATGAGATTTCTCGGATGAGCTTCAACCCAAATATATATATTCAATTATTTGCATTCCAAAAAATGATTACCAACATAATATGTCATTCAAATGATGATCATTTAATCACTTTTATATGACTTCATGCTTTATATATTTAAAAATATTCTCTTAAAATTAAAACTAACCCAAAATGTATAATTTATCAAGAACAGTATATTAAAAAATGATATGTTTACGCCAGTCTTTGTATTTTGGATGGATATCCATCCGAGATATTTTAGAATATCTGGATATTCAACGCAACTGCACATATAATCTACGGTATGTCGCTACACGAAAAATACCGACACAGTGTGATCCGAAATACATAGACTGGTTTACGCGTTATTATCTAATCCATTTTTCTGTACTTTTCCGATACGTATTGGAATGTGCCAATCGGTTGTCTTCTTGGAATCGTACGAAAATTGTAACTCAATGTCTTCAAGTGTTCGATTCTCCGTTTCCGGAAGAATATTAAACAACAGAATGAGTCCAGCAAAAGAAAATAGAAAATACAGCAGTGACACGCCAGGCATTGATAAGGAAGTTTGCAGATCATAATATGTTTTGATTGTTGTAAATCCCATAATATAATTTATAGCAGCACTCAGTCCGGTTGCTAGTCCTCGAGCCCTAATAAATGTATCAACATTGTTAATTGATGAGTGATTACTTATCGGTTATCATCCGTCTAACTTTTTGTTACAATCACTTACTTGAAGGAGAATATTTCGGCTAGTAATTGCCAGGGCATCCTTATGTGTGTCAGATAAATGTCAAAACATAAGTTTATGAATCCATAATCGAAATTCAGAAAAAAAAAATTGTAATTTAGATTAAAAATGAGAAGAAATCAAAGTTTAAATCGAAACCGTATTATATTTGGTGTTTGTATAAATGAAATTCAAACTCGTTATACAAATTTAAAGTATGTTAAAGTCAACATAATAGGGTAGAACAAAATCCTGAAATTACTTACATAAGGATTCCACAATAGGAACAGAAACTCCATACCTATGAATGATAACCATAATAATTTTGGTATAACATTAATTCAGAAGGCCCGTTAAATGGATTCCGTAATCTTTCCACTGGCGTTGAATGAATGAACTGAGCTGCTTCAAATTGCGGTGTGTTTTACCACGAAGCCTTGCCTTCATAATGACCCAAACAATCGATCGGATTGCAATCGGGTGACTGTGGCGGCCAGTCCATTTGTTTTATTCCATTTCCCTCTTTCCAAGCGGTGCAGAGACGACTCTTGTGTTTTGGATCATTATCTTCTAGTAGAAGCCAATTCGAATTACCGTTGCCATAGAACTTTTTGGCGGTGGGTAACAGTGTCGATGCATAAAGTTGGTTCATCCTCATGGCGTTTAGAATGCCCGTGAATACCGTCAACTTTCCAAAACCAGCTTCACAGAAGCAACCATAAACATGCACCTTTTTCGAATGCTTTACCGTGTGAACGACCACTCTCCTTTCGGCTCTAGACTAACCGGGGATTGCGTTGGCATATTTATATGAAAACGTCAGTGGAATCTTAATCGCGAACGCCATCTTTGGTTACATGTATATAGCTGTTTCTTTGCTGAAAATTTCACTTCAATTTACTACAATACATTATTTATTTAGAAATATACAAATATTTTAAATATTTGTGATGAAATGCACAGAAATATACATTTTGGATGTATATGCAAATATTCATTTTAATTCTTCTTAAAAAAGAGCACACTGACAAAACTAAGGTTATGATTTTGACAACACCGTGTTGTAAATGCTTACATTCCAACGAATGTTGTGAAGTAGCCAACAATTGTTGTCATTGTGAATACGTACAATGGCATATATTATATGTATTCACAACGACAACAATTGTTGGCTACTTCACAACATTTGTTGGAATGTAAGCATTTACAACACGGAGTTGTCAAAATCATAACCTTAGTTTTGTCAGTGCATGTTATACAAAACAGGTACGACAAATTTCAAATTTGCAAAATGTAAACAAGAAAATGACAGCTATTATTCGGCCCAACATTGAACTGATAGAACCGCTGTAATGCCATATATACTTTATACAGATGGGAAACAAGAGATGGCGTTGTCATAGAATTCGGACTAAAAATGTCAGTCGTAATACCGGGTTTCTCTAGACTAGGCATTGGTAGTGCTATTCACCAGCCAAAAGAATGACTTTTCAGTGTATATAACTTCGCTCCAATCTCTTGTTGAATTTTGTTTTGCCCAGTCAATGCGTTTTTCTTCTGGCTTTCTGTCAAAAGTGATTTCTTCATTGTACTGCGATAACGAATATCGGCCACATCTAATCTTCTTTTGAGAATGGAGCGCGAGACGTCTATTTTAAGATGGCGTAGCCGTTCAACACCTTGGCTTAATGACATACCTGGATTTTCATCGAACAACGTAACCATCCGTTTATCTTGCTTTGTTCTTTGTATGATTGAAACAGATTTATACATATACAGAAAAACCTCCCAATAACGAGACATCTGTAAAAAATTCCATCATTAAAATGTTCCACTGTTTAAAAAACCACGACAAAGTTATTGATTTGTTGAGCAATTTTATTAACGTTTGTATACAAACGAACCAAAAAAATGTCAATAAACCATATTCACTGTAAATACTCGTGTATTAGTGAATTGTTTAGACTGAAAGAGTGAGATTGACAGAGAATTGGAAGAAGAGAAGAAATGACAATGATCCCATATGTTCATCACGTGCAGCAATATTGCGTTTGCAAAATACAATCAAATATTATTAATCACTCGTTTATTGACATCTTTTTGGCGGCTTCAAAGATGTTTGCTTATGTCTACCACTTTTGGATGGTTTTCCTGTGATTGCACTTGCGTTTTTAATAATGAACTAGAGTTCATATATATTTCGATATATTTTCATTGAGTGCAATTTAGTAACAACTGCAATGCTGATAACTTTTTTATAATAACATTTATTTTAAGGCATGTGTTTGCTACGCGAAACATTCATATTAACCCATCGCTCTATTCGTAGGCATGTTCGCACAAAATCTTTTAAGTTTCAAACATTCAGATAAAACATTTAGATAAGACAAACGTTTTAAGTGTTTACTTATACTCAATCACTGAAAATGTCTATTAAAATTAAAGGGAAACCAAATCATAATAAAATGCAAAACATTCTTGTATTCCCAAGTTAAATTTGAAAATATTCACGTGCTACCCAATTTTGTTGGCACTCGTAATTTCATCGTAGTCTTCCAAATTTTTCAATTTTACAAATTAATTGTCTTCGAATGTGTGAGAAATAAACGTCATATTAGCGTGGAAATGGTTTTATGGTATTCTTGCACACGCTTTCTTTTGCACAATATTACTTAATCTGTCAAGGCATATTGTTTAATATTAATTAGATTAAAAAATTATTTAATATGAATCAATGAATTATGAATATTTGTGGGCACAGTGGCTACTACGACTACTGCGGCACTATTCGATCAACTGAGTTAAGCTGCACAAGCTTTGGTCAGGAGATAAATGGATGACCGTTTAGAACATCGTATGTAGTTGCAAAATACTGTGTCAACCGTGTCTGTGTACAACAAAGGTATGGATTTCAGCACAGACACGTAAAATAGAAATCCAACGCCATATAGAATATGGCAAAATCATAAGAAATGTAGGATACAATCGGCTGATCACCGATTTATCTGAATTAATTGATCAACAGAAACCAGAAAGATAAAGAATTCTTATCTCAAGGCCCTATGCTCCACTAGGAGTTAAAGGAAAAAAAAAAATGAATTATGAATGTGCTAATTTCGTAAATATTTTCGAGTACTTTGAGCTCATTTTCAAGTTCCTGGCTTACTATCAAATGAACTTTTTCCGCCTGCCGTCCTTTTATACTTTTATCCATCGATTGCTTGATCTTACGCGAAGCCTGATCATGGTATAGGTTTTTCTGTATAAAACTTGTAACTAACAACACCTCTAATGCGTATTCCGAGTACTAATCAAAGTCTGTGACAATATGGCCGTCATAGTTTGGCAAAATCATAATGAATCGATTGAACTGCGTTAAAATAAAACAGTAGAAATAAATAGATTTTAATTTTTTACATTTTTGAAAATTAAAAATCTTTTGTTTTTTTAATTTTGTGAGATTTTCTGTCAACAATATTCAAAAATATTAAATTAATAAAAAATGAATTGGTTGACATAACCTCACTTTTGCGTCGCGATCGTGATAAATCGATCAAATAATTATTAAAACGAAAGTGAGGTTATGTCAACCACTTCATTTTTTATTAATTTAATATTTTTGAATATTGTGTAGTAAATCTCACGAAACTACCGGAAACTACAAAACAAAACAAAGATTTTATTTTATTTCTACTGTTTTAATAATTATTTAATCGGTTTATCACGATTGTGACACAAAACTGAGGTTATGTCAACCAATTCATTTTTGTTGATTTAATATTTTTGAATATTGTGGACAGAAAATCTCACAAGATTAAAAAAACAAAAGATTTTTTATTTTCAAAAATGTAAAAAATTAAAATCTGTTTATTTCTACTGTTTTAATTTAACAGTTTAACGCAGTTTAATCCATACTGTCACAAACTTCGATTAGTACTCGGAATACGCATTAGAGATGT